GGCGGCAGCCTGGCTGCGATGGGCGGCCGTGAGCACCAGTACAGCTCGCTGTCGGCCGCGCGGCCGCTGAACGGGACGTACCACCACCACCACCACCACCACCACCCGAGCCCCTATTCGCCCTACGTGGGCGCGCCGCTGACGCCCGCCTGGCCCGCCGGACCCTTCGAGACCCCGGTGCTGCACAGCCTGCAGAGCCGCGCCGGAGGCCCGCTCCCGGTGCCGCGGGGCCCCAGCGCAGGTAAGGGGCGCGCCGCAGCGTGGGGTGCGGGCCCGAGGCGCCAGGGCGCAAGGGGGTGTGGAGCAGCTACTGGACTAGGATTCTGTTTTCAGGGCTTTCCTGTCTGGGTACCCAGAGGTCGGCCTGGCCCCAAGCACGATTTGCAGACCTGTGGCAGGGCGACCCAGAGTCTGGCATTGTTGAACTAGCGCTTCCATCTTGCGGACTATCTCAGTTCCTTTCCACGAAAGAGGCTAAATACGCATATATACACCTCAGTGCTTTGGAGAAGCTCGGGAGATTTGATGTGTAGTGAAGTGGGCAATTGGGAAAAATGAGCCGGAGAGGGAACTGACAGGGCCTGAGCCCCGTCCCAGACCCTGGTTTGCGTGAAGGGAGGACAGAGGCTCCGTGAGGGGTGGGTTTAGGAGAGTGTTGGGCGCTCGGCTGACCCTCTTCTCAGGTCACACACAGTCTCACCCAGTTGAACTCTCCAAAGGTGAGTTGTGTGTGTTTTCTTCAAGGAGAGTATTGAAAAGAGCTCCACAGTGGACAAGGACCTAAGGACCTAGTTGGCATCCCTCCCCTCCTCCTCTGGGAGAGGGAAAGAGAGGACACCTGGACTGGTCAGCCTTGTGACTGTCCCAGGGAAAGTTGGTGAAGGGCCCTGTTGTTTGGCCTCAGCTGGGCCGGGGGGTCTGGGGCCACTGCTCCTGCCTGCCCCTGCCAGGCTGGGACCCAGGGGTCCTGGAGCTCCCACATCTATTCTTCCTCTAGTTCACCCCACCAATTTTTCGGCTTCCAATCCCACTCATGCTTTCATTCCAGTGTCTGGGGACAATTTGGGGTGAACTGGGAAAACCAAATTATCAAAATACCTGGAAACACCCCATTTTGAAAAGTGTTTTGTTCTGCTCAAGCAGGGAGGGAGTGAACTGTGTTGTCTGGCTTGACAAGGGCACTTGGGCTTCTTTCTCAGCCGCAGCATTCTGGGCCCTTTTCAGTGCTTTCACAGGTCTTTATATTTCAGCTGGTTGATAACCTGACAGACTCCTAAGATACAACTTTTTTTAGGCTGTTTGAGGGGAACAGTGGGAGTCACAGAGGTGGCAAAGATGAAGGAGGCTCGTCGGCCTAAATTATCCAAACTGGTGCTCTCAAGCCAGGTCTGGGCTTTTCCTGGGAGGCTCAGCGCTCCATTTAGGGACAGCTCTGATGAGTTAGGATAAAGTGAAGCATTGCCAACCTTGTGTTCAAAGGACATACTGGAAATGCTGGTGGCCTGAAAGTGATGGCTCTGATTTGACCAGGCGTCTCCTAGTAACACTGGGAGGGAGCAGAGGCTTTTTGGTAACAAGCCCTTTCTCTCTTCCTCCACTGGCTCTAAGATTTTGCTCTCAAAATTCCCTCTTCTCTCCCCTGCAAAGCTGGCTCTGGGGACCCTCTTTGTCCGCTGTGTGTAGAGTGGGGGTGGGGGCCCTGTTGAGGTTTGCCCTGTGGAGTAGAGACCTGAGAGAGCAGAGCACTGTCACCCTTCCGGCTGCATAGGGACCCACGTTTGGCTCCCAGGAGCCGAGAGACGGGAAGATGAGGACTGTTCAAAGGTGGGAAGGGGGTGGTGGTTAGGGTGTGAGGCTTTTCTCAGTCAGGAATGCAGCAGGGAATTGGAAAGGGTGTGTGAGTTAGGTTGGGGGCAGCTGCAGTTGGAGCGGGATCCTGCCACTCTGCCTGTTTCGTGACCCACCTTAGCGTGATCTCCATATTCCTTCTCCCTAGTCCCCCAGCGTTTCACAAGACTGAGAAAAAGAAGTAGTCCAAAAGCCATAATCAGAGTCTTTGGATGTTTAAAGCAACTGGTCTGTATGGAAAATCCTTTTAGAGTCAGTAGGGTGCGATTACAGGCAAGTTATAGGTTTCATTTTAAACTTAGCCTATCCTTTCACTAATTCTTTCACCTTCTGGGTAGGACACTGCAAAGTTAGAAAAATCTTCTGTAGACCCAGGGTATGTTTTAAAACAAAAACAAAAACAAAAACAAAAATGGGAAGGGGTTTGGGAACACCCAGCTTTTGCGTCAAGAGTCTTTTAAGAAGGCAGGAATCTACTGAGAAAAAGCCAGTCTGGGGGTGGGGGAGGTGAATGACCCTAACTTGGCTTGTCCTCGTAGGTGTTCTCATGCTATAGAGACCTCGACCCCCAACTCCTTGCCTCCCAGGTTCCTAGCTGGAATCTCTGCTTCTCCACTTTGATTTGTTTAAACAAACCGTTTTTGGACGCACTCTTTAATTGATTTGAGCAAACAGCAGGGCTAAAGCCTGAGCGCTGGGCTTTCTCAACCTGCACACTGTGGAGGCCTCTGGGAACCCACTCCGTACACCTCTTGGTGATGCTGGTGGTGGGTGGGTGGGGAGTCCTGGGGTGAGCTTAGGGTGCTCACAGCCCTTCAGTCCCCGGGCCCGGCACCCTCCTAAGCTCCCACCGAACTGTGTTCCATTCTCTGGGTCCTGGGATGACAGTCGCTGGCGGTGCCCTTGTCCCCTGAGTCTGTCACTCCCCAGGGGCACACAAAGCAGCCGTGTCCAGAGGGGGATGATGAGTAGGGGGAAACTGATAAGCAAATTTCTAATTTTTGTAATCAGATTTTGTAGTTTTTATTTAAAAAGTTTTTCTTATTTTAGTCAGCTGTAAAGTCGTAGCTGCTGGGTGAGGGGTGGGAGATGTAGGAAGGGAATGGGAGCTATAGATTTTTTTTAATTAAAAATAAGCAAATTTCCTAAATTTTTTTTATCCCAAGTGGACTTTAAGTTTTGTCTTTGGGTTTTCAGATGACTGAGGAGATTTGCCTGGAGAGTTCACACTGTCTTCTCCCGGTAGTCTTTGTTGTTCCCAGCCTGGGGGAAGGAGGCCAGGCTAGGGCTGGGTTCTCCCGGGAATGCCCCACTCCTCTATCGAGAGGGGCTCTGATAGGTAACATTTTAAAGTCAACAACAAAGACAAATACCTTGTTTAACTTCAGTGTCCTTGAAGTCCTGAGCATTTTACTGATTACCGTAGTCAATAGTGGCTTTTAGGGCGGAGAAGAATAAATCTTTGTGCTGTGTTGTAAGTTGCAGTATCCCCATGACAACTTTGAACTCAGTTATGTAGGATGCTAGTTTCTTTTATTTCATGAGGAGGAAGGAGATTTGTTCTGTAGGGCAAATTGTATTAAAAGAATCAAAAGAATATTTATGCCAAAGATACATTTAGATATCTTTACAACAAACAGTTGATGGTAGAAGCAAGCTGTAAACTGCTCGGGAATGAGAAGGAATAGAAAGGCTTGCTAGCACACAATCTTCAAATAAAACTCTAAAGTGTAATGTTTATTTACCTTAAAAATTGATTCAGAAATGCTCCTTAAAGAAAGCCAAATTAGAACATTCAAACCCTCTGTAATATAAATAACCCTAAACAGGAGATATTTATTTTTTAAAGTCTATTTAAAAAGTTCTTATTTAATTAATAAGTACCCATCTCATTTTAGATATTTGTTCATTCATATTTAACCGATTTAAGGGGAAGTGATAAATGTTACAACCATTGACTCTCAAGATTTTTTTTATTAACAGGTTTAGGTTAGTTGTGAACTCTGAAAACTAACCAAATAGCAAAATGACAGAAACACAATTTAGATAGTGTAAGTTGAAATTTTAACGTAGGAAAATAGGAAACAGCTTTATTTAGCACTGGAATATCTCAGTAATTTTCTGAATCAATAAAGTATCAACCGTTTGTAGACATTTTGCAAATAGAAGCAATTAGACCCACTTTGAAATCAGAATATTTTAGTGTTTGGTCCTTGTGGCTTGAACATCACACAACATTTATCTTGGTGCTTATTAATGTTAGTGCCTTTTTTTTTTTACCTGAAGAGGCCTGATTCATCTTCTAATTAATTGACAAAAGTGCCCAAGAATAGTACTTCTAATTTCACTTGTCTCTTTTCTATTGAGGACAAGCAGGGTGGCAGATATAGCAAATACTTTTAAATATTACTTGAGATAAAAGTAAATAAAGCAGCCTCACTGTGTCCCTGGGTATTTGTGGGTTGGGGGGGTCAGTGATCAGTGCTAATATTGTATGGCTTGCTTGGGTTTGGCAAGTGGTATATTGTAATTATGATGGATTTCAGTTTTGAAAAGCTTGGGGACAGCCAGAAAGGAGGGGTCAGGGGACCGAAACCGACCTCCCCACAGCTCATCCCAACTCTGAGGTCCTTGGAGACCGAAGGCAGATGATTCGCTCGGCTTCCAGCACTGTCTCCGACTTTCCTGGGGTTTTTACTGGGCGCGCCCAGGGGTGCAGAAGTACTGGAGAAATGGTCAGCAGATCGATAGCGACGACATCCACAGCCCGCTCCTGGCTTGGCTGCTGAGCTGAAAGATCCCCACGTGGGGAAGGGCGCGGACGGGGGAGAGGGCAGCGCGTCGCCGGCACAGGGACCAGGGATGCTGGGGGTCTTCAGGGGAGCCCGCGGGGAGGAGCGGGCGCGGTGCGGCCTCACCCGGCCTCTCGTCCCCGCTCTCGCCGCAGACCTGCTGGAGGACCTGCCCGAGAGTCGCGAGTGCGTGAACTGCGGCTCCATCCAGACGCCGCTGTGGCGGCGGGACGGCACCGGCCACTACTTGTGCAACGCCTGCGGCCTCTACAGCAAGATGAACGGCCTCAGCCGGCCCCTCATCAAGCCGCAGAAGCGCGTGGTGAGTGCGAGCGCCGCCCTCCCCTGCGGCCCGGCCCCGAGCCGCGCTCCTGCGGGTCCGGGTGTTCCCCGC